GCCTTACAAGATAAAATATCCTATTTGTATTAGGGATGTCTTCCCATTACAAGTTTGATGTGAGGGCCATCTGCCTGTGACACCCGTCACCACACTGATCTCCAGGCTTGCGTCAGCCCATGTGGCTGCCCAAGCCCATGTCCCCTTTCTCTCCCAGTGCTCCATATGCATCCCTCCCAAAGCTGCTGGGGCACAGAGGACGACCTCCCCGATACAGACAGTACATTTTATCACACAAGGCCATTTGGCAGCTGTGCTCTCTGCTACAACCTCCCAACCAGCCCAAGGCATTAGGACTGCATTTCTAGGGCTTTCCCTGTAGTTATAAGTAAAATTTTGGTAAAACAAGACTGATATAGGGTGTAAAAATGGGAGGCATGCATGTGGTGCATTGGGTGAGGAAGAAATCTGTACATAACCAAACAAATCAACTGATTCAGCCCTGGAGCTCATTGTGGTGATGGGTGTCAAAGGCAGATGGCCCTCACATCGAACTTGTAATAGTGTCCTTTGTTTCTATAACAGCGAAGAGTTAGGAGATTTCATTTGGGGTTATCATTAATTCAGCACATAAATACATCCCGTTTGAGGATTGTATTGCACTGTGCAGCCCCACCTTCCCCAGCCAGAGTTAGTACAGGAAATTATTGGGAAAGGAGTATTTCCCCACGCAGCACGTCACTTGTATGTGTCTGCAGTCTTAGAAGCAGAATCTCCCTACGTTCCCAAAGAAATGGACCTTGAGCACTAGGAGGTTGTAGCAGGGAGCGCAGCTACCAAATAGCCTTAATATATAAAATATATAATTTGTATTAGGGATGTCTTTCCATTAAAAGTTCGATGTGACGTCCATCTACCTGTGACACCCGTCATCACACTGATCTCCAGCCTTGACTCAGCTGATCAGGCTGACCATGCACATCCCATTCCTCACACAATGCACCACATGAACGCCTCCCATTTTTTGGGACGCGGTTTCAGTCTTGTTTTGCGTAAAATTTTATTTAGGACTACCGAGAAAGCCCTCCTAGGAATGGAGCTTGGTCAAGTATGGAAGCTGTAGCAGGGAGTGCAGCTGCCAAATAGCCTTGAGTGATAAAATATACTGTCTGTATCGGGGAGGTCGTACTCTGTGCCCCAGCAGCTTTGGGAGGGATGCATATGGAGCGCTGGGTTAGGAAGGGGACCTGGGCTTGGGCAGCCACATGGGCTGACTCAAGTCTGGAGCTCAGTTTGGTGATGGGTGTCACAGGCCGATGGCCCTCACATCGAACTTGTAATATTCTCCTTTGTTTCTAGAATAGAGAAGAGCTAGGAGATTTGATTTGGGGCTATCATTAATTCAGTGCATAAAAATCGCCGCGTTTGGGGATTGTATTGCACTGTGCAGCCCCACCTTCCCCAAGCAGAGTTAGTACAGGGAATTATTGGGAAAGGAGTATTTTCCCATGCAGCACGTCACTTGTATGTGTCTGCAGTCCTAGAAGCAGAATCACCCTACGTTCTCAAGGAATGGACCTTGAGCACTAGGAGGTTGTAGCAGGGAGCGCAGCTACCAAATAGGTTTAAGGAATAAAATGAACTATTTGTATTAGGGATGGCTTCCCATTGCAAGTTCGATGTGAGGGCCATCTGCCTGTGACACCCATCACCACACTGATCTCCAGCCTTGAGTCAGCCCATGTGCCTGCCCAAGCCCAGGTCCCCTTCCTCACCCAGCGCTCCATATGCATCCCTCCCAAAGCTGCTGGGGCACGGAGGACGACCTCCCCGATACAGACAGTACATTTTATCACTCAAGGCTATTTTGCAGCTTTGCTCTCTGCTACAACCTCATAACCAGCCCAAGCTCCATTCCTAGGAGGGCATTCCTGGTAGTCATAAATAAAATTTTGCACAAAACAGGACTGAAAGAGCGTCCCAAATATGGGAGGCATTCATGTGGTGTATTGTGTGAGGAATGGGATGTGTGTGGGCAGCCAGATCGGCTGACATAGCGCTGGAGATCAGTGTGGTGACAGATGTCACCTGCAGATGACCCTGACATCAAACTTGTAAGAGGACGACCTCCCCAATAGGGACAGTACCATGTATCTATCAAGGCTATGCTACAGCTGCGCTCCCTGCTACAACCTCCAAACCAGGTCAAGGCCCATTTCTAGGAGGGCTTTCCCTCTAACAAAGGGCACTATGTCAAGCTGGATGTGAGGGCCATCTACCTGTGACATCCATCACCACACTGATCTCCACGGCTGAATCAGCTGATTTGGCTTATGGTTAAGCACAGGTCCCCTTCTTCCCCCAATGCACCACATGAATGCCTCCCAGTTTTTGTAACCTATTTCAATTTTCTTTTGCGCAAAATTTTATTTATGCCCTCTTAGAAATGCAGCCCTAGTACCTTGGGCAGGTTGGGAGGTTGTAGCAGGGAGCGCAGCCGCCCAAATAGCCTTGAGTGATAAAATGTACTGTCTGTATAGGGGAGGTTGCCCTCTGTGCCCCAGTAGCTTTGGGAGGGATATGGAGCATATGGAACGCTGGATGAGGAAGGGGACATGGGCATAGCCAGCCAGATCAGCTGACTCAAGCCTGGAGCTCAGTGTGGTGACGGGTGTCACAGGCAGATGGCCCTCACATCAAACTTGTAATGGGAAGACATCCCTAATACAAATAGGATGTTTTATCTTGTAAGGCTATTTGGTAGCTTCGCTCCCTGCTACAACCTCCTAGTGCTCAAGGTCCATTTCTTTGGGAACGTAGGGTAATCCTGCTTCTAAGACTGCAGACACATACAAGTGACGTGCTGCATGGGAAAATACTCCTTTCCCAATAATTCCCTGTACTAACTCTGGCTGGGGAAGGTGGGGCTGCACAGTGCAATACAATCCTCATACCGGATGATTTTTATGCACTGAATAAATGATAGCCCCAATTCAAATCCCCCAGCTCTTCTCTATTCTAGAAACAAAGGACACTTTGCCAAGTTCGATGTGAGGGCCATCTGCCTGTGACACCCGTCACCACACTGATCTCCAGCCTTGAGTCAGCCCATGTGCCTGCCCAAGCCCAGGTCCCCTTCCTCACCCAGCGCTCCATGTGCATCCCTCCCAAAGCTGCTCAGTCACAGAGGACAACCTCCCCAATACAGACAGTACATTTTATCACACAAGGCTATTTGGTACCTGCTACAACCTCAAAGAACCTCAAGGTCCATTTCTTTGAGAACGTCATTTAAGGGATCTTCCAAGACTGCAGACACATCCAAGTGAGGTGCTTCACAAGGAAGTATTCCTTATTTTTTACTTTTTTTATGCTTTCCCAATTACCGTGCGTAGCACCACTCTGGCTGGGGGCATTGGGGTGTCAGAATGTCATACAGGACTCAAGACAGGATATTTTTTTTTGTGCTAGATTAATGACAGCCCAAAATCAAATCCCCTTTCTCTTCTCTATTCTAGAAATAAAGGAGAATATTACAAGTGGGATGTGAGGGCCATCTGCCTGTGACACCCATCACCACACTGATCTCCAGGGCTGAAAAGTTGATTTGGCTGGTTATGCACAGATCCCCTTCCTCCCCCAATGCACCACACGCATGCCTCCCATTTTTACATCCTATTTCAGTCTTCTTTTGCACAAAATTTTACTTATGACTACTGGGTAAGCCCTAGAAATGCAGTTCTAGTACCTTGGGCTGGTTGGGTGGTTGTGGCAGAGAGCACAGCTGCCCAATGGCCTTGAGTGATAAAATGTACTGTCTGTATCAGGGAGGTCGTCCTCTGTGACCCAGCAGCTTTGGGAGGGATGCATATGGAGCGCTGGGTGAGGAAGGGGACATGGGCTTGGGCCACCAGACCTGTCGATTCAAGCCTGGAGATCAGCGTGGTGACGGGTGTCACAGGCAGATGGCCCTCTCATCCATCTTTTGATAGTTTCTTTTTTTTCTATAGTAAAAAGTGGAAAGGAGATTTGATTTGTAGATATAATTTTTTTCAGCTCATAAAGATAGCTGTGTTTGTGTCTTGTATTGCTCCGTGTTTAATTTTCAACTGCTTGCAATGTCTGTATAAGTTATATGTAGACATTTCTTGGAATTTTTACAGTTCGTGCCATGTGTATATTTTCACTTATACATGAGGATGTCTAATAAGTTTTGAATTTGCCTACAATTTTTCAGTATGAATGAAATGCTACGATCCAGGATTACGAGATTTTGGTAGGATGGAGGAGCAGATAATTTTTGGAATATCTGGATGTCTTAGCACTTTGCGATATAAGCTAGGGCATAATTCAGTAACATGATATGTAGGTCATGTGCTAATCAGAGTTGTGAAGGAGAATCTTTTGAAATAAAAGCCCCACCCAACAATCACCAGGGAAGATATTGGGTCACAGCAGGCTGGCCATAAGCAAGTAATGTGTTGAGGCTGTGGAAAAGGTTTGATTTCAGTGAAAGAAAAATTATGCTGTTTTGAGATGGAGAGGTTACAGCACTGGAGGCCATAAGTCACGTGTGGGATTGGTAGGAAAATACCAGGTTTGACTTATTCCTGTTTTTTTTTTCACTAACTGCAACTATATTATTTATGTCAATTTCATAGCTACAAAAGGTTCTGGAAAAGCTATCCAATACGACTGTATTTAAAAATCCGTTACTTTCTGTTCAAGAAAATAATATTTGCAGTGGTTCTGAAAAGAAATATCTTTCTTTTATTCTGCGTCATAAATTTTAGTGTCACAAACATGATGTACAAGAAAATGGATCAAAGTGGAGAAAGAGCATAGAGTCTTATTCTGGAGCAGGGGTTTCATGATGAAGTGAGATCATCTGCAATGTGTTGCTTAGAACATGGGGGCAATAAATCCACTTAGTGGAGGCATTTACCATGAATTATTTCACTCGTAGATATTTCCATTTAAATATGCTATGTGGAAGACTTTCTGAAATTAGTGTTTTCTCATAGTTGTGGAATCCAGTGTACAAGTTTTTCCAAGAAAAGTGGATTTTTAATGTCACTGAGGACTCTCTGGAAGCCATTTAACAAAGATGCCTTGAAGGCTTCTCTGAAGTGTGTCGGAAGTTAGGCTTTTTCTTGTTTGCATTTGTCTAGACTTTCTATTTGGTGTGGGGAAAACCTTGGTGTGGCACCTGAGTCACCTGTTTTCACAACTGTAGAGACAAGAGCCTTTAATTTTACTCTGGTCTTGCTATGTATAAAATGGGCTAGGAGGCTGTACTTGTCTTAGATAGCTGCATTCCTTTTCCTGTACACCTTTCGTTTGAAATCTGGATAGTTGAAACTCATTTTCTCCTGTTTCATTGTAATTGCTTCATTGGCATGTATTAAGGAAAATATTAACACAAGTGATTTTTATCTAAAAGAGAAAAATAAAAAAAGGTATTGTAAAATCAAGATGATGCATAAAGAAAAGTTATTCTCTTCTTCTGAGTATATTTGTCATTGCTTTGGATAGAAGACTGAAAGTATGAGGAAGGGACAGCAAACTTAACTCCAAGGTATGTTGTGTTTATCTCCATAACAGGTGGGTTTTCTAGGAATCCCAGCTAATCTAATATTGGATCATTGGTGAAAATCTCCAAACCAAATAATAAAATAGGTAAAATCATTAATATCCTTATCATAGCATGTTTGTACAGTGGAGGATTGGTGTCTTCCTTATAAACTCAGTTTAGGAATCAGAAGAACATGTTGGACTCAACAATCTTTCAAGTAGAAGCAATAATACGATGGTTTGAAAAGTGGATATGCTTTAAAGGAATCTCTTCATCTTTCATGTGAAATATAATGCTGAAGAAATTTATTTTCTTCTATGCTTTGATGTAAATTTGACTTATCTGTTTCTCTCAAATAACATGGGTGATCTCTGGGGCAACTGGATATCAGTTCTTGAATTCTGCAGGCGGTGTCATTTTCATTCTTTGAGGGAGAGAAGGGGAAAGGACGAGGCATGAGGTTATAAAGCAGTATATGCTCATCCTTACATAGACCTTCTTGCAATACTTATAACCAGATGTCTGTCTTTCCAGTTATTGTATTTTTCTGATTTCTATCACCTTGTGTGATTCGGTGCTATCTGATCTTATTAGGCTAAATCCCTCTGCATGAGGTATGAAATGCTGCTTTAATAGCAAAAAATGCCCAGTAGGATTGTTCCCTTGGGAACCTTCTACTGAAGGTGAGCTCCCAGCACCTGACACGGATCTGATGATCCAGGCGCTGTCTCGCCGAGGTGCTGGGCTGTCTCAGGTTCTCATCCGAGGCTCCATGATGATAGCTCTGTTTGCATTCCGTGCCTTTTCGTGCATCCTCACTGTGACAGGCATCAGGGGAATCACAAAGGCAGCAGATGGTCTGTGCACAGTTCCCTCAAGCATAAAACAACATTTCTGTACTTCTTGTCAGGACCTTAAATTGCACACTGTTCTGTTTGATTATTTTCAAACCCTGCATTGGCCATAGGGGCTCAGATGAGAAATATTTGCATATCACAAAGTGGGAGCAAGGGCTAAATTAAAGTGGCAAGCAACTGGATTGAAACTAAATTCTAAGTGGAAGTTGTATGCGCTCGTTTTTAACAACGGTTTATTTTGTTATTTTTAATGAAAGCAGTGACCTCTACTAGAATTGAACAAGACACAGGTTGTGTACAGTGTGTTTATGGGGTTTTTTTCTGTTTTCCCTTCACTGGCCAGATATACTGGAGTCGTTCATTTATGCCTAGACTTAAAATAATCAAACCTGTAATATGTAACATGTACACCTAAAATGTATATTCAAATGTAGGCTAAAGAATATGAGTTCCAAATGAGTTTATTATCCTTAATGTTATTCTGCTGCAGTTCAAGTAAATATAACGTATTAGTTGCTCATTGAATGCAGTACCACTTTTCAAAATTCAATTTGCTGTGCAGGATTTTTCCCAAGATACATTGGATAATGTCAAGTTTAAATCTGTACGTGAGTCTACAGAGATCGCCATGCAGATGGAGCTGTGGAAAGCCAGAGGAAAGATTTTCATAAGCACATGGGGCTTCAACAAATCTGCTTAATTTGTTTTCCTCCCTGTTGGAGTCTGAAACACAGAGTGTGTACCCTTGTTTCTGATACCTAGCTCTGAGATCCAGAAGAACACTGAATTTCATAAAATATGAAATTTATGAGCATGTTTTTATAGTGATAACATGAAAACAACTATTGAAGTTAGATAGAAAAAAGCTAACAGGCTTTGGAGTTTTTGTCCTGACGCAGAGAACTGAAATAAGCGGGACTCCCCCTGAGGGAATATCCCCAAGGAGCTCAGCTCCGAGGAGATGGAGAAATCCAGGAGTGAAAAGAAGTGCAGAAGAAGTGCAGCAACAGAATCAAAAGAGAGAAAAAAGAAACAAAGAATTAAAGGAAGTTATAAGTGGTGCTCTGTGAGTGTCAGAGAGAGCTCACAGAAGCCTCTATCAACGCCTGCCTGGATCAGAGCAGCCAGTTCCTGAAAGAAATCTGTCTGGAGAAAAACATGTGCTAACAAATTCCAGAGTTCCAAGGGCCTGGGACTCGCGGAACATTGGATTATGCTGGTCAATAATCTGAAGATAGCCAACAGGTCTGGCAAACTGTGTCCAGTCTAGATAATGGGATTGAGTATCTCTAAAGACGAATTGTTTGAACCCAGGATATAGGAAAAGGTAAATATGAGGTTTAAAGAGTTAGGAACTCCAGAATATGGGTAGATGAACTGCCCTTTCTGAAAGCATGGGAAACCCAGAAATTCCCCAGTGCACCCATCCCTTCAGAGGATACGGGGGAGGAGGGAACAATGTGAGGGGAGGCTGAACACCGGGAGACTTTTGTGATTATTTCAGAAAGCAAAGTGAGCAGATTGTTACATTGTTTGAGGTTAAAAAATCGCATGGGGGTAGACATGATGCGTTGTATGGAGTCTTTTTGGAATCTTTATATTCTGAGCAAATTACGGCGTGTGTATGTGAAGAAAATGCTAGAAAATGTCCACGCTGTTTCTGAAACACGCCTTTAGAATAGCCCCTTCCCTCACTCTCTCCATGCAGGCCAGAGGAGCCACAGAGAGGGAGGGAGCCGACCCCACTCTCTGACGAATTTGAGCACCTAAAGGTGATGTCAGAAAAGGCTGGTGAAGGGGACATAGCGGTATTCGCCCATCAGACAGGCCCAGGCCACAAGGAGCGGTGGGATAAGGCGGGATGGCCGAGCCGCAGAGTGAGCCCGAGCAAAGGGGCGAGAGATTAGAAGCAATGTTAGGACGCTGCCATAGACAGGTGGCGAAGGCTAAGGGGCTGAGCAAAGTCACAAAGGCACGCCCCACAGGGAGACCCATGACACGGTCCATGACGAGGAGGAGCCGGCCCTCAGGGGTGAAGGTTGGCGGGGCCTCCCGTGGAGCCGCGCATGCGCCGAGCCTGCACAGTTCATTCGGGAAGTAGGCCCAGGAGTGTGACAAAGAGTTGCGATTTTCCTCTGGGGTCCTGTTTCTGGCACAAGAGGCAATTGCTCAAAAAGGGATTTATCTCCTGGATAAGAGTTTCCCCCTAAATATAAGTTTCTAGAGTTTTTTTTCCCTCAGATTCAGAACCAGCAGAGGACGGACGGGGCTGGCAGCCAAGGCACGGCCCGAAACGCTGTCGTCGTGGCAACCACCGTTGAAACAAGTAACGGCATCTTATTGAAATAACCGAAATACAGAAAGCAAGTAACAAAAGAAAAAGAAAAAAAGAAAAAAAGAGACAGTGGAAAGCTAAGATCATGTCCTTGAGAAATAATTTTCACAACAGCAGAAATAATACATATCATATTTGAGGTGAAAATGAAATGGTCAACGGTAACAAGTGGAAGTTTTGTAATGATTTATCCACCTTTGAAAAAAGGAGATTTTTAATTAGGCAATTTAAAAATTAGAAGCTTTGTAAATTGTATTTCTGGTTAATCTGCAGATTGTTGTAGTCATGATGAAGTTTTAAAAAGAAGTGCCTTCAAAAATAGATTAAAAAGTTTATAGATCTTGTATAATGGTATATATATGGATATTGTATTTCTAATGATATATGCTGGGTTTTTTTTTATAAGTAACATGGAAAATTATGATAGTTATGAATCCCAAGAAATTTAAAAGATTCCTGCTTTGTTTCAGTATTCTCAATACATGAAGGTTTTGAAAATGTTATCTTCTCTATACAATTACTGATAATGTAACATTGTATGATATGGAGTGATCAGGTATTACTACTGTAGTTACAGTAAATTTCTGCAAAGTGCATCCAAATAACAAAGAGCTGATTAAATTCTAATTGTTAAGAATTTTGTTTAAGGAGAGTAAGCTAGGGGCATTCCTCCAGCTTGAAGCTGAGGCCTCGGCCAAGCCTTGACTTTACCTGGATGGGGCATCTACCCATAAACCTAGATGTTTTCTGCATCAAAACAATGTTCAAGTCAGTTTGACTTGGCAATTAGTGAATTAATATAGCAGCTGGATTTTTACAGTGGGCTTGGAAAATTGCTGTCCAGTCATGATTTTCCAATCTTTCATTGATTTATCAGCTGTGGCAAACTCTGGGATGAGAGTATGCATTCAGTAATTCATACTACAGATGATTTAGATAATTTTAATATTGCATAATATTAATTTTGCATCTTCTTAACAAGTTCTTGATTGCTGTAAAAGTGTTATTTCCTATATGTATACATGTGCATGTGTTTTGCTTCAGTGTTTTTTTCATTGTCATAACAGGAAAACAGATACCTTACCTTTGCTTACAAGAGAGGGGGAGAAACAGAGGCTGCGCCTCAGAAGTATGGAAACCCTATGTATTTTGGAGTTTTGAAAAAAGCATAAATATCTGATATCTATTGCAAATTTCCTGAATAGTTCTTTTTAAACAGGTCTTTTGCAAAACCAATTCCATCAATTATCAGGTATGCTTCTAACAGTACTCAGGCAAAGCTGAGAGAGAATTCTTTGGTTCTGGTCAAAAGTCCAGAAGCAGGACAGATTAAAAATCCATTTCAATTAATAATTTGGAGGAAAGTGTATATTTGTGTATTCACAGGTTCAAAGCAGAAGTAACTTCCTAATGAAGAACGTGGAAACTTATCAGCTGCAGAAACAAGGAGACAACCCAAAGAGCAGAAGAGCGAGCACGCAGATGTGAACTGTATCAAGACCATAGCTGCAGCTGAAGAGCTTTGGTCCCACATGCAAAAGCAATGAATTTTGGCTTTCATATAAAAGAGTGGAAATATTGATATTGTAAAGCCTCATTTGTTAAAGCAATGTGTGAATCGTGTCAAGATTCAGAATCTTGCACGAAAGACAAAGCCACTGAATATGAGAGTGAATCAGGTATCACCCTTGAGCTGTATCACTTTGTTGATCACTTTGTGATGCGATTTTACCTGCATCACTTCTTTTAGTTAACTCAAAAGAAAGTGTACCTTATCTCAGTGAGGATGGATTTTTGTATAATATTCAATTTTTCTGTGTTAAAACAGAATGAAGATGAGATGATAAATGTCACTCCTAATCATGCTTTATACAAAAAGACAACATCTTAGTGTAACTTTACATCAATCTTAGTCACACCTGATTGTGAGGAGTTTGACTCATAGAATTTCAGATGGAGACTTATAACAACTCAACTTTCAATTCAAGTAGCTTCAGCAGAAACCTTGAAACAATTAGATAAATTAAACTACTGGTTAAATAAGCAAGCTAGATCCATTTCTCTAGCTTTGAGTGGTTGGTTAACTGGTGTTCAAAGCATGAGATGTGATGCTCTGTAAATCAGAGCAGCAATTGATTTTCTGTTATTAGTGCATAAAACATGAGTGAAAGAAAAATAGCCCTTCTTGTAAAGTAATCAAAGAAGGGGTTTGGGTTGATTATTCTTTTTTATTTTTTTTCCACAAAGAGAGGGGCAGATGTTGAAGTCTGAAACACAGAATGTGTACCCTTGTTTCTGATACCTAGCTCTGAGATCCAGAAGAACACTGAATTTCATAAAATATGAAATATATGAGCATGTTTTTATAGTGATACATGAAAACAACTTCTGAAGTTAGATAGAAAAAGCAGTGCAGCACACAGGTGATGGGTCATTGGGTCAGTAAGAAAAATAATATACGTGTCTATTGTTAATTGGATAAGAATGAATATAAAAATAAAAGAACTGCATAGTACAAGGCCATTTTTGTACCATCAGAAAGAAATGAGTCAGATTGCAGCGAATTGAACTTGTGCAGCAAGTCTGGAGAGACCTGCCAAGTTTTGTGATAACATCCTGATAAACATGAGAAACAAGATCCTAACAGGCTTTGGAGTTTTTGTCCTGACGCAGAGAACTGAAATAAGCAGGACTCCCCGTGAGGGAATATCCCCAAGGAGCTCAGCTCCGAGGAGATGGAGAAATCCAGGAGTGAAAAGAAGTGCAGAAGAAGCACAGCAAAAGAATCAAAAGAGAGAAAAAAGAAACAAAGAATTTAAAAAAACCCTGTTTTCAACAGCTTGAATTTCTCAGATATTTGAGGTTATTTTAGAGGTGTTTAACATAGAGAAAGTGGAAATGCAGCCTGAGCAAAAGGATTCTTATTTTAAGGGAGGAATATTTTGCAAGTGATAGGAACAAAGGTACAAGTTCATTATCACATGAATTTAGTCTCAGACTAACTGTGTTTCTTCTGTGTCCATGCTAGGACAAAGAGATTGCTTCTCTGTTTGTCCTCCCCTTGCTGCATGAGGAAATTGCAGTAACAAAACACAGGATCTTGTGCATCTTCATATGAAAAGCAGGACCTGAGTTGATACTTTGCTAGTATAAACCAATTCTTGTGTTTGGTAAAGATACTTTCCTAAGGCATTAAAAAGAAGCTCAAATTGGTCACTTCAAAGGGCTTTAGTACAATTACATGGTATTAAAGGCTTCAACAATTCTTGGCTTCGGTTGTTTTTAGAAATAGCCCTTAAAAATCATCCCAAATCTTGCTAATTCATTGGAGCCTTCCTTAATTATTTGGCATCTCAGTGTGTAGGCAGTACAGTTTGTGAGCAGTTGTAACCATGTTCATGCAGTCAGTTTTGCAAATACACGGATAAACTTGATTATGGGAGAGTCACACCCCACTTGTGTTTCCAACCTGAGATTGGTCCAGTGAGTAAAAACAGGCTGGAATACTTGTAGGAACAACAAAAATCCAGCAAACCTTGAGAAATATTTGAAATTAAAATTATTGTGTGTTTACGGTCAACACAGTGCTAACAGAACCAGGACATGGTATGTTGATGTTTGGGTTTGGTTTTTTAATATCCTCTTAAAATTAGTGACATGATTTTTCAAAACACATCTCTTAGGTACTGGAAGTAGTTAACTGTGTCATACTGAAGACCCTTGGAGCTGAAAATGTCACTTTACATGAGTATTTATATATTCTGAAACTCAGCTGTGCATGCTTTTTGTTCATCGTTGAAATACTGTAACAACAATTGAATTGAAATTGGTTAGTTCAAAGGAACTGTTTTTATCTGTTTACTCAGCTGTAACTCACAGCAAGAAGTAGGCATGGACTCTGGACTGGGGGATGTTCCACCAATGTTTGAAAATCTGTGTTTGATAATTGAAATTAGGTATCACGAGAACCTCATAAACAGAGATAAAATTAAACATGCGAAGTACTCATGTTTTCTTTTGTGGCCTTTTGTGAAATTGTCTTACAGATCAGACTTCTAAATCCTTATATGTGAGTTCATTAGCATCAGGAATAAGTGGCAAAGTCCATATTGTTGTTAGGAATTGGGATGTCATGCAGCATAAATCCACCTTTTTACCCTATTGGTTTGGCCTCTCTTCTTACCACTTCTGTACCATTACCATCAAAGATTGAGGAAATTGCAGTAAATACCCAAGAGCCTTTTCTGGCTGTGATGCAACCACACTTGCCACTTTGAGTGTGTGTACATAAATATGTATTAAATGGTACCAAATGAGTTTAGTAGAGATTATAGCTTGTGTGCTATACTCTAGAGAGACAAGAAATCAGGTGTGGCCTGGTTAGGATTGTGGATCATAGGAATCAGTCAATGGCCTCAGTTATAAAACACCAGTCTGGTTGCATTTAGTCTGCTCTGCTCTCATCTGGAATCTCTGCTGTACAAGCAACTACAGAATCATGGCTTATAAATGCACTTAAAATATTGTAAATCTCATACTGATGTAAGACTGCTCCTCCAAGGAAAGGTTTATTAAACAAACAAATCTTACATGAGATGGCTACAGAGAAAAGATGCGTTTTGCCATACTTGTATGACCTATGGGACGTTAGAAACTATGAATCTTTTCTTCCAGCCCCTGTGTTGGAGGAATGGTAAGTTTGGAATCCTGCAGTTTTCTGAAGTAGCATCTTAGAAGAGAGAGGAATGAGTACCAGGCTGAACCTTTCTTTAGGAGAGGAACCCCAAGTCTTGTGGTGGATGTCTGCAATGAGTTTTAGTTGTGTTACTAAACAGAATATGTATATTTTAAAACAAATATAACTGTGTTCTGATGGATTCCCTGTATAATACTTTCCAGGTGTTGATGGTATAGTTCATAATCTGGACATGTGCAACTGTATTTGCTTTTCTTGACAGTCTGAATCCCAGTTCTGCTTTAATGGCTTTTATAGCAACTGGAGAGAGCCAAGTGGCAGAGCAGTTAACTGTGGATGGATGCTGAAAATGTCTGAGAATAGATTGCTAGTTGTGTTTGTGTTCTTTTTTAAAAAAATTCCGTAGAAACTATCTCCTCAGAAAAATGCAGCTGGATGTGTGGAGTTGCTCCAGAGTGATCTGGCCTGGGCTTCAGCTGTGGGTCACTGCTTATACCTGCTCCAGCTGCTCAGAGCACAGAGGATAATTTAGGGTTCAGGCTGGCAGTTCAGTCTTGCAGGGAGAGCTGGAGTAAGATTTCTGGTATTTTCTGATCTTCTGCCTGATAGCTGGTGTGTTGAGTTTTCAGGCCTCTCCTGCTCGGAATATAAACTTGGAGTATAAAATATTGTTCAGTGGGGCTCTCCACAAATATCACATTTGTCTGCATCTCCTCTTTATTGCAGTGAGCAAATACAGCTGTTATTTACAGATGGCTTTGCTACTACCCTTCATATTAGACCATGATCTGTACATTCATTGATGTTAGTAGAGGTTTGGTTGTGTATGAGTTTTTCTGAGAGCAATTACTATTACCAATTACAGATGAAAAACAAAATGATAAATTTTCCCACAGTATTTTTGTGGGTAATAAGATCATATGCACCTGTAACATAAGTGTGAAATGCAGTGATCACTGCTAGTGCTGCTCACTCATCACTGGATGCTGGCTCATGGGGCAGAGCCTTATTCTAAGTGTACTGGGAGTTATGGGAAAGTTCTAGGGTCTTAAATGTGGATTTTTTTGTTTTGGTTTTGTTTGTTTGTTTTCCAGTAATGGTGATTTTAGTCTTTGTAGGATCTGTGTAGCTGTAGTTGTCAGATGCGTTTAACTGTGTTAATCCTCTCTGGCTGGAACAATTAAGCTCTGAGAATCCCAAATGGTGAATGGTACTGGTTACTCTGCTTCTAAAGTACTCAGAACACTGCTTCAGGTCCACAGTCAGGAAATGCAAAGTTAAAAGTTTTTCACTCTTCTCTGTCCATTGATGTTTTGATGTTGATGTTTTTGCAGAGTTGACAGGGTTTTGAAGAGGCCAGAAAGGTGAACATGCACACCCTGCTCACTGTGGTTGGTTGTGTTTTGTTGTAAAATTAGATAGTGAAGTCAGTATTTGGATTAATAGTTATTTAGCCAGGAGCAGAACCCTTAAATATACAAATTCTATTATTTGTATAAATGTTTTTCTAAAGATGTTTGCTGAATAAATATTGCTTGTGTTTTATTTTAATTAAGATGAAATGATGGAATCAAATTTAGAAGAAGGAAGATCATTTGCTCAAGGTAGCCTCACTTCCTTCTTAAAATGGTACTTGGGACTTATTTGCTATGGTATTTTTCAAGTACTTTCTGGATAAAAAGCAGCTCTAAGGATGCAGCATGGCACCATCTGTAGCAATGTCTCAAACTCATGAAAAATCTACACTTAAGGGAGAAAAATAGGAAACATTAGGCAGGCTATGATCAAAAGTTATTGATTCCTTTGATCTCACCAAAATCAGTGGGAGGTTTGACTTGTATGTTATTAGTAGCAAGAATTGACTTCAGCTAAATAAGATTAGCTGTTCTTTGGGAAAAAACTGGCAATGGTGAAACTAATAAAATGAAGAAAAAAGTGTGTTATTCTGGCTTAAAAAAAGAGGGCTTGTGGTCAGAGGGAGAAATGAAATAACCTCCACTTTTTCCTTTTGAAAAGCGCCTTTTTCGTTACTATTGCCAAAGCTTTACCTTGAGATATGACCTTTGCAGTGAGCAGTTTTCTGAAGCATCTTTCATGTGATGTGCCCAGTGGCACTGGCAATGAAAATACACTGTATTTTTAAATACTCTTAAAATAGAAATTACTAAACTACTTCTTTGAAAGCATCTTACCTTCCCCGTAAATTACCAGTTTGAATAGTCAGTTGTACTGTATTTGTGGTTTTGCTTACTATTTTTATTTCTCAAAACTGAAATTCCATTTGAAGGGATTGTGTTACTCAGTAATATCAGTGCTGTTCAAACATTGTAATCTCTGTGTAGAAAGTAAGAAATG